TCACGGGCTAAGCATGCGAATTACGATATTATTTAAAAATTATTTAAATACGTTGCGGACGTATACATTATGTATATGTAATAAGTTATTATTTAATTAAATATTATATTTAAATCAGATTATGTTATTATTATTTAAAAATTATTTGTGAATAAAATCTCCATACATCAGAGAATCTCTATTTAAAAAACAAGGCTGACCCAATTTATAAATTTAATTTATTAATCTATATTTTAACAAAAAATTATTAATTGGGTAGTTGGATTTGAAAAAGAGATGAACCAACATTACTTTTCCAAAGACAAATCAATCAATCAATTAGTTTGCACCACATTTTGGATGGTTGGTGAATGGTGAATGAGTCAGCCGGAAAAAGAAAAGGCATATTTAATATCCTTTTTTTTTTATTTTTCATTGATATTATATATATGTACGTACGTGTGGGGATGAATTTATAAAAAGGAAAAAAATGAAATTTTTATATGTTTAATAGAATTAAAAATAATTTAATTACGTGTCGTTTTTTGATTGGTTAATTAGAAAGTGAAGAAACAAAGCACGTGATCTCTCGAGCAAGTGAGTATTCCCTCTAGATTAAGTAGAGGTTTCAAGCAACGAGAGCACGTGGTATGTATAGTGAAGATTCTCTCTCCTTCGTTGTACCAACTACATTATACATTTGAAATTTATTAAAAATAATGTCTAGTTTTTTGAAACTAATAACTATACACCAGATTTGAGAAATATAATTTATGGTTTTTTTGATTATATCATATTTTATAACGTGTAATTTAATAAAATTAAAATTTTAATTAACTAATATATTGATATAGTTGTAGTGAATAAATGTAACGATTCTAAAAATATCCAAAATGAAATAAAACATAATTAAAGTGCGGAAGTATAATAAATATTCAGGGTCTATATTCTTTATACAAATAACTTAAAGTACCAAATAACGTTATGAAATTCACTCTTTTGAAAAAAAACACAAGAATAAATAAATAAACGGGAAATAAAGAAATCTAGCATCTATTCGCAATCCTCATGTGGATCGGGCTCTGAAACATGGTCATCTTGATCTGAAATGGTTAAATAATGGATGATATCCTAACCCAATAAAGATAGCACACTATATCACCGATACATAAGTAAATGTTTGTATAAAATCAAAACATTAATGAAGTGCTTAATTTAAATAAATTCGTTTATCAGAAATAAAACTATTTATCGTTCACTTAACGTAGTGAAATTTATAAAAATAACCTGTGCAAATAATTAATATCATACACATCATAATTTCATGTAAAATCAGCAACATAGCACATATCACAAGTCTATATACATCGTCAATAAACCAAATAATAACTGTCACTTTCTTCACCAGCCTACTAGTATCCATAGGGGTTTACAGGGATGTACTCGTTACACGCAAACCATTTCCTTTAACAATCTCAATTACGGGCTGTCTTTCTATCCCGTCCGGTATGAACATCAAATTATTAAACCTCAATACCCCATTAAGTATGAGGATAAAGCAGGCTGTCCCCATATGAGCGCCAAATTATCATGTCTCTATACCTTGTCCGGTATGAGACAACATTCACGATATGGTTCCCTATATACTCGGTCCGTCAACCATCTCCTATAATATCCAGTAAGACTGTTGTCTTCATCTATTCATTTTTCCACACAACTTTTCCGTTTTCCATTAGTTTCAATTTTCCAAATCAGCCATAATCACATAAGCAAACAAACATGCATAAGGGAATACAATCATATCTCAATTTCAACTAAACAAT